CCTGCCCACCCACTCCACGGCCACCCGGGGGTGGGAACAGGCCTGGCCGCTGCCCTCCTGTCCCCGCCCCCAAAGCTGCCACACGGGCTCAGTGCCCGCTTCCCCTTAAACTAGCGCTGGGCGGCAGGAGTCCTCCGGGCCTCAGTTTCCCCCGAGGCAGTGGGAACAGACCCCCTCCCTGCGGTTCTGTGGGGAGTGAGGTTTCTCGGTGAGAAGCTCAGCTCCTGGGAAAGGTGGTACAGGTCTGAGCCTGAGCCAGGCCAGCCCTTACCTGGGGGAGGGAAAGGAAAAAATCTTAGAGAAACACCTGATTTAACCTAAATGTAGCTTAGTGTCGCCACGAGAGGAAATTACAGGCCTGATGGGTGTTCTGCGAGCAGTTTATACAGGTGAGCTTAACAAAACAGCCAGCATGCCAAATATGTCTATTAATTTCTGTTGCCAAACAAAGAGGAAAACGGCACATTTGGGACTTTCGCGAGGAGAGGGAGCCATGGGTCGGCTCCTGAGAGCAATCCTGGCTTTGGTGTGTGGTGCTCAGATGTCCAGGCTCAGACCTGCGTTGCGGGCTCCCCAGTCACCCTCGGCCACAGACGCCTCTGCTCCTGTGAAAGGCTCTCCAGGCCCCGATGGACCGGGATGCAGTGGGAGTCCCCGGGCAGTGGCGTCCTGGCCGCAGTGAGTCTGATGTCCTCACTGGTGAGAAATCAGGGGACACTGGCCACTCGCCTCTGCTGTCAGGAGATGATGCCGCCCTTAGTCCCATGAGATTAGGTCAGAGGAGAGAGCCTGGGACGTGTCTGCTTAGGGGTTTTATCCGGCGACTTTGCTGTCCCTATGGGCTGTGTTCTGGAAATGGGGCCCAAGACAGCTCAGGTGGGGGGCCGCCTGCTCCTGCTCCTGACCTGCCTTGGGGAGGGTGGGTTCCGCTCTGCCCTGTGCCCGTCCGCTGCACCCACACCCATAGCTGCCCTCGGCTGGCCTTGTGTTCCAATCCATCTTCACTTCGCCCCCCTGCGCAGGGAGGGGAGGGCCTCTGGCTGTGTGGGGACAGAGTCACTAAGGGGTAGTCTCTGCCGGAACGCCCGCCGGACAGGCCCCTCTGTCCTGTACACACCTGCTTTCTGCTTTTGAATCAGACCGAGGCTGATGCGGAGGTGCCCCTGGCTTGGGGAGGTCACCCTGAGGCTCTTAGCGCTTCAGTGTCAGAGCCTGTAGCCTAGGCTTACGTCTGAAATCCTGCAGCCCATGACCATGCTCAGGCCGCAAAGCCGGTGTGGCACGCAGGATCCTGATCTAATGTCCCCGGGACCCTGTCCATGGCCGCAGGCGGGCTCCGCCCACGGGGTCCTACCTCAGCCAGCGCTGTGCCCTCATCACCGCGTTTCCTGCTGAGTCCCCGTCCTCTGAGGAAGTGGACGGTGCTCCCCTCTGCTCCCCAGGAATCCGGCCCGCAGTGCGGCTAAGACTCTCTGTTGAAAGGCTGTATGAACAAATTCAACATTCATAGAACTTGGCCGCAACCTCAACCACTCCATCTAAGTGATGTTTTCCGCTGATACCCTTAGACAGTGCATCCCAAGTGGTTCCTGGTCGAGACCACGAGGTTTCCCTGACTCAGTGGGAAGCTGTCGGACACGAGTGTTCAGTCAAACCCCTCACCTTAGTTCGAGGTGGCGGCCGTGGCTCCGACGTCTCCGCAGTGCTGTCCGTCCGAGGGGAGGCAGGCGTCGGGGCCTCGGCCGCCTCACGGCCTGGAAAGAGGGGCCAGGAGCTGTGACAACGGCCCTCTTGAGGGCTGACCAGGGCAGGCGGGCTCTGGGTGCCCCCGAGCGAGGTGAGTCCGAGTCCCCACATCAGCTCTACAGCTGGTTGCTCCGCAGCCTCCCAGCAGTTACTTTGCTCAGCGGCTCCCATCTTACAGCCCCCCCACCCCCCCTCACGCTGCATCTGGGTTTCACATTTAGAACGAGTGCTAACGAACAAATGCTGTATTGAGCCCAAATATCCCCACCTTAAAACCTGCCCTGCTCCGCCAGCAGCCCTCCCCATGCATCCCTGTTGTCTCCCACAGCTCTGCTGGGGCCTGCACTGGGGGTGGGGCGTAGGGGAGGTGGGGGGAGGCTGCGGCAGAGGGAGGGGTGCCCACCTGGGGCCGGCTGCCTGACGTGCTCATGCGAGTGCTGAAGGGCTGTCTCCCATTTTCAATCTCAGGTCCCAACCGCACCGTTAGACCACCAGGTGGACCACATCAGAGATAAGCTCCTCTCCTGGTGAGTGGGAATGAGAAGTGGCTGCATCCAACCCCGCGCCTCCCCGGACAGCTGGGCCGCACCTGCCAGGAGGGGCAGGGGCCCGCCAGCAGGGAAAGGCCAGGCCTGGCTGGAGGACCCTGCTGCATCACCAGTGTGGGCTGTATCCCCAGCAGCAGGCTGCTCACCGAAGCCGTGGGTGGGGGTGGGGGACACGCCCCAGATGCTGGGCCGTGGGGACCAAGCAATGCTGGGCTCCGTGCAGTCAGCGGGCCCGACCACAGCAGCAGCACCCTCTGGGCATCTGTTCAGAAGGCACTGTCCTAGCCCCACCCCGTGGCCTGGGCGCAGGGAAGGCACTGCTGCTGGCTCCAGACCCCCTGCACCAGCAGGAAGCAACCCCCCCCCCCCCCCCCTGCAAGCCGCCGGGCCCTCCGTGGGATCCACGCCAGCAACAGAGAAACCCGCAGGCCGAGCGGGGCGGCAGGCCCTGGGCAGCAGCTTCCCCAGGCCTCCCCCAGGGGTGGCTGCCACCAGCCCTGACTGGAAGCCCTGGAGCCACTGACCCCAGGTGACCCTGGCCCAGGAGCACTCGGCTCAGCTGACCGCCCTGGCGGTGGTGAAGGAGGCCTGTCCCCCATGGCCTCACGCCCCAGGGCCCTGGTGAGAACCAGGCTCCAGGTCTAAAAAGGGGTCCTGGGACCTCAGGAGGGAATAAGTTTAAAACCAAAGACCTACTTCAGGTCTTCAACAAGTAATTCACCCCAAAACCTTCACAGAGAAAGCAATAGAACTTGTTTCCATCGTTTATTTACCAACATACATCCACATTCACATGAATTCGAGGTTGCAGGCTAGCCCCCCGAGGGTGCAAAGAGCTCAGCCCATGTGGCCACCGGTGGGCATCCCCCTCCCAGCACTACCAGCTGCCTGACATCCTCACAACCTGCAGAGCCGGAAGCGTGGCTGTCCTTCACTGGCTACACCGGTGTGGAGTCACAGGCGGCGCTGTGCCAGGCGGCGGTGCCTACAGGCCTGGCTACACCAGCTGTGCCAGTCCATGGAGCCTGCTGGCCTGGCTACACCAGCCGTGCCAGTCCACGGTGCCTGCAAGCCTGGCTACACTGGTGTGGAGTCACAGGCAGCGCTGTGCCAGTCCGCGGTGCCTGCAGGCCTGGCTACACCAGCTGTGCCAGTCCATGGAGCCTGCTGGCCTGGCTACACCAGCCGTGCCAGTCCACGGTGCCTGCAAGCCTAGCTACACTGGTGTGGAGTCACAGGCAGCGCTGTGCCTGCAGGCCTGGCTACACCAGCTGTGCCAGTCCGCGGTGCCTGCAGGCCTGGCTACACCAGCTGTGCCAGTCCACGGTGCCTGCTGGCCTGGCTACACCAGCTGTGCCAGTCCGCGGTGCCTGCAGGCCTTCTCACAGGAGCTCTGAAATGAACGGACGTCTCACATCGCTACAGACAGCAGCCAAACACAATCAGGTGGCATCCCAGGTGGGTAAGGTAAACAGTTATATTACTAACTCATTTTAAGGTCAAAATACTGCAATGAAAATAGCCTGCAAAACCCACATAAATTACACTGAAGGTCTGTACAGGGTTCCGAGGACACAAACAGCACTGTGCTCTCACAACATGGCTTCCTCTGGACCCAGCACCACTTCCCCTGAAAGCCAGGACAGCGGGCACACACACACACAAGGCAACTAAAACCACTTCACAAAATACAACATCGAGTTGGTTTTTTTAAGGCACGTTGTGTTTTAAAATGGGACTCCGGTTCCAGAAGCCTTGCTCACCAGGCCTGGCGGGGGGCAGCGCCCTGTTCCCGCCACTCTAGGGGCTGAAGGGGCTAAAACTGGCGGGCAGCTGCAAGCAGCTCCTGCATCCGCCACCAGCCGGCTGCCTGGCCAGGCCTGTCCCGAAGTTTTGCAACATTGGATCCACTTGCAACAAGGTGGGCAGACGCCACTGATTCCCTTCAAAGCACAGGCAATGCCCACGACTCCTCCTCGGGAAAATGCAGATGACCTGGCATCACCGTTCACCCGGCGCCACAGGCTCAAAGCCCAAGGATGGCCACAGCGCAGCTCTGGGCGGAGCACGCGGCGGAGTGACTTCACCTGGCGGGGCGCCAACCGGCCCCGGGCGGGGCGCTGGGGTCTCACTTCTCGAGTGGCTGAAGTTTCCCAGGAGCGAGCCCCGCAGTCCTGACCCTCAGGCTTCCAGCTGGGCCTCGGCCTCCTCTACCTGCAGAGGGTCACTGTCCCCCAGCAGCTCGGTCTCCGGGACGGAGCCGTCCTCCTCCTCCGCCGCCTCCGGCTCGGGG